CCTGCCCATGCAGACCTACAGTTTAGTTGTAGCCCCAGCAGCATGGCCCTGACCTTCCCTTCCTATTGCTTATTTCACTGCCTGTGAATGTTGCTGGGCCAGTCATCAAAATTATCTTCATTGCTCACAAGCTTGAAAGCTGAACATCTTCTATTTTGAAACATAAAGATCCAGTGACTTTGAAAATGAAAGCTGATCGTTTTCCTGCCCCCCTCCCACCCTCTTTAGATATATCTCACCTCAATTCCTCATCACCTCAGCCAGTGCCGACCTCCACTGCCTTTGCTGCATCACCTCAGCCAGCGCCAACCTCCACTGAACTTGACCCCTGCTCAAAAATCACATGCGAAAATGACGGTGTCTGTGTCATCCAAGATAACAAACCCCAGTGCAGGTAATGGGCCATTCAGGAGGGTTCTCCCTGTCTTCTGTTAGAAACTTTGCTGTCCATGTAGGGTTCAGAGGAGGGCAACTGATCAGTTCTGCTCTTGAAGCCGCTCATAGAATATCCATTTATTTCTGTGGCTCTGGGAATTGAACACGGGGCTTTACATTGAGCTCTGTGTCCAGGCCTTCTCATTTTGAGACAGGGTCTTGTTAACTTGCCATGTTGCTCAAGCTGGATTCGAACTTGTGATTTTTGTGCCTCAGCTTCCCAGAGTGCTGGGATGACAGGCAAGCACCACTGTTCCTGGCTAGAATATTTATTTTTTTCACTCCATTTGGGACTTTGGATAGCTATTAAGGACAATGAAATTATTTATGAAAAATGAGCTCATTATATTCTAATTGCCTGAAAAATCCTTGTGAATTACATATTTTGTTAAGTCTTTATGACAGTCTCACCTTTTTAATGATGGTCCTTATTTTCTAAATGAAGATGTTGGAGTTCTGAGACGACCTTGGCCAGGGGGTACAGCTAGAAGGGAGAGAACTGAGCTTTACTATCTATGCTACCTGCCTTCCCTTCCTGGAGCTGCTGTCTTCAGGTCAGGTTACCAGTAATTCCTTTTTTCTTTTCCATTCACTCTGCCTGGCCACCTGGAGTCAAACTCCATCTCCTCCATCACGGGAGTGGGTAAGACAGTTGTGTTTCATCGGTGACCAGTTGACTGAAGGTGACTGGCAGCTTTGATTTGCAGAGCTAAAAGGGAACACATCACTGAGTTGCGCCCCTCCATGCAGGTGTCCCTCGGGGAAAGACTGGTGGTACATGGGAGAGTGGTGTGAGAAGCGAGGCTCCACGCAGGATACCGTCGTCATCGCGGTGTCTTCCACCGTGGCTGTGTTCGTCCTGATGCTGATCATCACCCTTGTCAGTGTCTACTGCGTCAGAAGGAAGTATCGCAAAGGGACAAGTTCCAAGACAGCAAATATGACTGTGGAAAATGTAAGTGGGATCTGTTATTTGGCTGTGCAAAAGCTATTGATGAAATCGTGTGCAAAAGGATTAGCACATTTACAAATACCATTTTTTTTAAAGTTTTTTTTTTTTTCCCCATGCTGAGAAAACGTAACTTCAGTGAGTTCCTGTTACCTTTCACTATGACACAATGGTCCTGAAAAGGGTCCATGGAGTCTTCCTGAGGGAGTTTGTTGCTAGAATTGTATCCAAAATTGTGTGTGGTTGTGCATGTTTTCTGTGAATGTGTGCTTTTCCTCCTGAAAAGCACAACTGATTTCGCATGCAAGTTCCTACTTTCTGCTAACCAGGAGAGCTGCTTTATAAGTGCTTCTGTTTTAAAGATGTTATGAAGTGGCTGAGCTCAGGCCTGCAGGAAGCGGGTGTGGGTGTATTTGGAGGGGGAGCTTTTCATAAAGAAACTTCCAGAGAATTCTGGCTTCCTGTGAAGTAACTCATCTCAGGTAGATTTTTCAAGTTTTGCCTCAGGAAATCTCTAAAATGGCAAGAAACTCTTGAAATTACCCTGTTCCCAGCAGGTGCAGGTCCCCAGGGCAGTGGCTTCTGAGATGGCTATCGGTACAGGGGTTTATTGGGGAGTGCTGAGCAGGAAGCCCGCAACTGCAGCCCCTGCGCTGGGGCTGTCCCCAGGGAGGGCCATGATGGGAATAGCGGTTTAAAAGCACAACAAAGTGACAGACAGCCTGCGGGGAGGGCGTGTCCTGCAGAACAGCCTTCTTTCCTGAAGGCAAGGACCTGAGCATGGTGCCATGGTGTCCTCGGGATCCCCACAATAAGAACACAGACACATCTTCCACAAGAGCACAAAGAAAATGGTATGCAATCTGACTGTGCTCAAGTGAGGTTTAAACATTCCTCCAGTTCTACTTCATGCAAATTAGAATACTGCTACTGAAACCAATGATAAAAACATATTCTATTAGAATATCTCTGAAGATAAAATACTGCCATTAGCTAAAGCAAAAACATATTTTCTTGAGAAAAAATATTATTCAAGATATACGGTCATCCTGCATTTTAAGTTTAGTGTTTTTTTTCTTTTTCTTTTTTTAAGTAGAAGCCTAGAATCAGTATAGTTTTTTGTCTTAGCAAAGTCAGTCCAAAGATGTACAGATGGTTACTGAATAGAAAGCAAATAATTTTATTCTCTTTTACTCTTGTTCTATTTCTCCAACATCAGGAAGATGTCCAAAGCTAATCATAAGGTAATAGAGCAGTTAATCCCTAACCTTTTTAGAAAAGCATTTAAAATATAGCTAGTTTTGCTTTTAAACGGCTATTTCCATCTTATTTTATGGTCAGAAGGGAACTATGATCCAGCGCAGGACCCGGTGGTCCCTCTGTTGTAGTGAAGGTGGCAGGGAGTCGGCAGAAGGGGCGGTGAGGTGGGTGGGGCAGCGGTGTCAGCCCCTGAGGAACTTGGAGAAGTCACAACTATTATAAGGATATTGACTTAATTGGTGAATGTTGGAAAGAATGAAAGAAAAATGATTAGAAACAAAGAAAGAGAAAGAAAGAGCTGAGTGTCTAGAGTGAGAAAATGATCAGGAAATGAGGGGCAAAAGAAGGCTATTGAATGGAAGCAGGCACACACACACACACACACACACACACACACACTAAATATTACAGAGAACTATTTTGTCTCTGGGTCATTTAAACATATGCCCAAGGACGAGCAATCGATGGACATTTTTCCTTAGTCTTGGCATTTCTCCAGTTGATTCGCTGGTGACAGATCTTTAGATCTGGTTTAGATCTTCCATTGGAACGACCTTCTTCCAGAGGCTACGCCCCCAGCGGTGCAGCCTGAGTGGCGCAAGCCTGAAACACCAGGGTGGCTTCCTCCAGACCATGGGGAGCCACGCCAGCAAACCACTGATAGGGACTTCATCTAAAAATGAGATTTTGCATTGTGATTCATTTAAATGACAGGTTTTAAATTTAGAAATTAAGTCATCAATTGTTCTTTCCCCTTTTAGCAACATGCTTTTTGAAGATTAACTCAACCACGTGGCCAGCAAGCGCAATGAAGAAGCATTCTTCGTCGTGCGATTTCACCTAAACTGTTTTACAGCCCCCTCGTGCTTCTGAAAACGGATCTTCTCTGTAAATAGCTGGATGTTCTGGAAATCATTATTTTGATAAAAATCAAATTGACAAAAAATCTCTCTGTCTGTCTCTCCCCACACCCCCCACCCCAGGAACCCATTCAAGCTCCTCCGGAAGTGTTGCAGGCAGCCTGAGTTAGATAGAAATATTGTAGGCAGTTAGACAGGGTCAGGCCCTCGAAGGAGATGACAGAGACCAGACACCTTACTGGGGAGATGCTTCTGGTGTGAGCCAGACCTAAAGATCAAACAAATGCTGACTTCCCTAAAGTTGGCATCCAGGATTGCTCATTAGTTGGGAAGAATCATTGACTAATGGCCACCAGATAAGGTCCCGATTTACATTCATGCCCGCTTGCTACGTGACTCGCTACCTCATTTGGTCCTAGGCCTAATCAATTTTACCTGAGCAATGGTGCTTGTAATCCCATTGGTTGACCATAGTTTTGTCCCATCCTGCATCCGCCTAAGTGAGACCCCTTTGTCTCTACCTCAGCCCCTCATGGTTTTACACTATAAAAGTTCCTGAAAGAGACAGCTTCCTGGGCAACCTGCTTGAGTCCCCCTTCTGTCCTTCTCCGACAGAAGCTTTCCTTTCCAATAAAGTTTTACCTTCAGCCTCTGTTTGTTCCTAAAATTCATCGGCTTTAGAGAACACAAACTCATCCAGGCCAGGCTGGGAATTTCATGTTCCTGTATCAGAAGTATAGCACCATCAATAAAAGGGAGAGCAACACTCAGAGACCACTCTTCCAGTTTCCGTTCCTCCCCTTTGAGGCCAAGGGCAGGGGCTTCACAGAGCTCCCCAGATGGTCCTTCAAGGAGAAGCTCCTCCATTGCCTTGCTCTCCCATCCCAAGGGAGGGAAGGGAAAGGGGACACCTGCCTTCCCCTGCCACTGGCCTCTGTCCAAATGGTTTCTCCTTTTCTCATTTACCCCTTAGGGTATGAGCACTCGATTTGCATCTGTTGACTACACTACCACATTTATTTATTTATTTACTTTTGGTACTGGGAACTGAACTCAGGACCTTGTGCTTGCCAGTCAGGTGCTTGTGCCGCTGAGCTGTCTTCCCAGCCCAACCGCACTACTATAGTCAAAACGTTCAACTTCTCAGGCAGCGGTTGTTAAAGTTGGGGTGTCAGGGGACTTTGCATTTTGAAAAATGAGCAGAGAGCCTAAAGAGATTTTGCTTATAAGCAATATTGCTTATTCATCAGTATTTACATCATTAGAAATTCAAACTAGCCATATATAAAGCTGTGTATGTTTTATCATTAAAAACAATAAGCTTGGAGCTGGGGAGATGGCTCAGTGGAATAAGCACTTCCCTGGCAAGCGCAAGGACCTGAGTTCAATCCCTGGTTCTGCCAAAAAAAAAAACAAAAACAAAACAAAACAAAAAACCAATAAGCTTATTACATGTTACCACAGACTTTCTGCTTAAAAATAACTATCTTTGCCAACTTACAGAAAATTTAATAAAAAGATGAGCAGTGATCCATTTCTGTGCACATCTCTAAAGGCTTGTTTAATAGAAGACAGCTGGGGGGCCGAGGAGATGGCTCAGTGGAATAAGTGGCAAGCGCAAGGGCCTGAGTTCAATCCCCAGTCCCGCAAAAAAAATAAAAATAAAAGTAAAATTTGTTTGGGGCAGGGGAGATAGCTCAGTAGAATAAGCACTTGCTCGGCAAGCAAAAGGGCCCGAGTTCAATCCCTGCTTCCACAAAAAAAGACAGCTGATTTATCATTCAGGGTTTTGCATCCTGTCTGGGGTGGTGTGCCACTCTGGGTGAAGGATATAAAGAAATCCAACCTAGCATGGATATGTAGTTGGGAAGGGAGGCATGCCCGAACAATCTTTCCGAGTAAATGTGGCAAGTCTTCCTAATACTGTTGCAGGTGGACAAGTGGTAATTTAAAGGTTAGTTGCAATTGCAATCTGAACTCTTACCAACAAACTTTTATATTCTGACCAGTAATTTGTACTGGTCTATTTTTGTTGTTTGTTTCTTTGTATTTGTGGCACTAAAGCTTAAATTCAGGGTCTTCACACTGAGGTATATCCCAGATAGATAGATAGATAGATAGATAGATAGATAGATAGATAGATAGATAGATATGATGTTTTTCTTTGAGACAGCATCTCACAAAGTTGCCCAAGCTGGCATGGAATTTGCTGTCCTCCTTCTTAATCCACAGTCATGTAAAAAATGTTCTATTAGGCAGATGGGGTAGCGTATCTGTAATCCCAGCACTCTAGGAAGCTGAGGCAGGAGGATCATAAGCTCCGGCTGGCTGGGGCAACTTAGTGACTTAGAGACACTGTTTCAAAGTAAAAATAGAATTATTACTGTTATCATTTAAATGTTATATTACTTTGACTGCTATTTTCAGCACATATACTTAGTTGCTTTTGGTTAACTCCGTTTTACAACTGATAGAAGGGATTACATTTTAAATGGAATATAACTCCAGTAAATATAGCAAAGTACAACTACAATGATTAGATAAATTAAATAGCGTTACATTTAGGCCATATAATCAGAAGTAAATATTTTATGTAAATGTTGAATGAGATTGAATATATACTAGTTGGCAATTGGAGTAATGCCTCCAGCACCACTGTGCATTTTCAGTCTACAGCTACAGGGGCTGTTTACACCAGGTTTAATAATCACACTGAACATTCATAAAGCATGTCGTGTATTGCATTCTACAACAAGAAGAAAAATAAAATTTGTTAATTTCAGAAGCCAAATCAAAGCTATAGACCCATTTTTTATGAAAAGCCATAAAATCCTGGGACAACCTGAAAAATGCATTTTAAAACCAATCCTCCAGCTTCTAAAAATAAAGGATGATACAAACATTAAATAAAAATAAAAATAAAAATAAATAAAAGTAGAAAGAG